AACAAAAAGTTAGACCTCAATTATTACACTGGTATATGTAGACAAAACTTAAAAAAAAAAATCTCTGACAACCAATCATAAAATTGCAAAAAATACATATTTTCAACCTTTAGAAAAGTCTATGACGTTAGAAATGCAAGGGGGTATAAATGCATTAATTGACTAAGCCAGTATCATGGGGTAGAATTACCATGTACAATACCGTACCACTCGGAAATTCAACAGAGAAAGCATCTAGACATCACTTTTTTCCATTTTAGAAAAAAAAGGCGAAAAAGGTGAGTTATTTACAAGGTCAATGGGGATGATTTTATCAACACAAATTTCTATTTGTGAATAATTTTCTCTTTTCTTTCTTTTTTGCTCTGAAACTCCTATCATTAGATCTAAATATTGGGGTTTTCTGTTTCGGAGCTTTAAACAAGCCCATCATAAAATATCCCCTAATTGATAAATATTGACACACATTTCAACTGAAAACGAAACATTTCCGTTAGAGCCGTTGACAGAAAACTTTCACAATCAATCCTTTCCATTGAGCTACGCTAACGGGCGACTATCTCTGCTTGTCAATTTCAACTGCCAATTTGCGCTCAAGATCTAATCGGCGCTGTTACCTGCAAATGATGCAAGTCCTTTACAATCTGCTATTTTATTTCTTGGTTTGATTTTACTAAATCATTTGTTAAAGAGACCTGCTAGGTGATGCGTCCATTTTCATCATTTGTTACGCTAATGGGGCCGCATTTAAGAACAATGGCACGAACTCTCTAGATAAAGATTTTCACTAATTTCAATCTAATGTCAAACTGTTAATTCCCTTGCATGGTCGCGGAGGGGAATTTGCATAGAAATCTTATAATTCACCAGAGAAAAAAGTCAAAGAGAAATGATGGCTGTCTGGCGATTTTCGAAACGACTCCGATCGTAGATTACCAGACACGGGTGAGCGAACTAAGTAAGTTGATTCCACGGGATTGAATCCCAAATTGTCTCTTGGAATTTGTTAAACAAATATGGTTAAAAAGTTACGTCTGACATCTCTGTTTTAATTTGACAGAGAGCACGGACCGTCCTAGCCCCATTAATTCTAAATATCACTTATGATACGGAAGATACATTTGGCGTGTCAGGGGACATCACTTTTACCAAGGGAGGTAATCCTGTCAATTGTTTTGCAAAATTAAAGAAAAAAGGCTTTTATTTACCAATACATTATCTTATCTCTCTTGGAATCAGTGACGCTAGATTTTCTCTGATGCCAAATGCCATTTCTAATCCAGACCATTGTTGTCAAATTTATAGGTCTCCTGAAGACTTTTCCCTACTGTAAACATTATAACACTGGATTATCATTATGATCCCCAATAAGGGATACAAATAGATAAACAAATTGTTTCCCATTGAAAGCAGAATAAAAAGGGTTTTATCAACTGGTAACATTTCATTAGAAATAATGTTTCGTCATAGAAATTCCTCTTAAATTAACAGTATTTCTTTTTTCACTTCTGGGAATAAAGACTTAGACCAAATTCAAAATGTGCTGTGAACTGGATAAGTAATTCATCTAAAATACTCTTAGAGTTGATTGCCAGATATAATAAATGCAAAATGATGCCTCCAAAATTGTAAATAATGAAAAAAAAGTCTGAAAATCATGCCATTTAGCATTTACAAGATAAATATGTATTAGACAAAACACACAGCAAAATGTTAGTTTCATCTCAAAAAATAAATTAAAAATATCTGCTGCCAACATATTTTTTCAGCATTATATTTATAAATTTAAAAATATAAGGAAAAGTCAAAATAATAAAATGCTTATTACCAGTTACAATTTATGGCAAACACATGGAAAAAACGAGTACTTTTTTATAGTGTAGTTGGAAGCAGAGACTTATTGCTGAGTCAGCAACATGAAAATAAATAATTTAAGTTTGTACAATGTTGATCTGTACATGCCACTAAAAAATGTACACAAAAATCACAACTCAAGAAAAAATAAATAGTTAAAAAACGCAAAATCATAACTCTGTTTAAATAATACATTATGAAATTACAAGAAAGAGGGGAAAATGTCATTAACATGGATTTCATAGAAAAATTGAATGCTCACTTTTTTTTCCTGATAAAAGTGGTCCCATGTAATTGTTATTCTGAGACAAAGAAAATTATTGTCTGGTCATCAAAAATCTACTTCATAAGAGACATAAGTGTCATGTTCTATCTGATATATTATGCAAATAACATGCTCGAATAATTATGCATTAAATAATTAAATTGACCTAGAATCTACAACATCACTATAAGTCTGTTACATTACGCTGTCACAAGTTGCTCAGTGTTCGTGATGGGGGGTGGGGGAGAGGACAGTTTGGGGGGTGAGGGAGACATGGTATACTCCACGGGTTTCCCGAACATGCTGGTGCTGCTGTTCTCGGGGTCAGAGTCTGTGGGTGAGGGGGGATTTTTATCCCCCTCCTCATCACTACCGTTAACACTACTACTACAACTGTTCAGCCTTAGATGATTCAAGCTTCCCATAGCACTAGGACTGTCCATGTTATTATTGAAAGAGTCTAAGTGACTCTGATTGGAGAGGTCCTCCTCTAGTTCTTGGTCGTATTTTTCGAATTTCTCGCCATCCATCGTTTCATTGTAGCCATCTTGTCGGTCTTGGCTTATGACCTCGTGGTGAGTATTTTCTAACAGTGTGTTATAGTCAATGTTCAAACCTGCTGGTATGCAGTTCCCAGTCTTCCAGTGAGTTTTGAGTCCACTGGCACTAATGTATTTACGATTACATTGCGGGCACTCGTAGGGGCGTTCGTTCGTGTGCAGTCTTTTGTGAAGTTTGAGATGGACAAATTGAGTGAATTTGGCTGGACAGAGTTTACAATGAAATGGTTTTTCCCCTGAATGAAGGCGCATGTGAGTTTTGAGGTTGGACGTTGAGCTGAATCGCTTTCCACAGACGGTACATTCGTGAGGTTTCTCTCCGGTATGGACAAGATGATGTTTCTGGAGATGAGCGAGCTGAGTGAATCCCTTCCCACAGGTCTGACAAACAAAGGGCCTTTCTCCGGTATGGGTACGAAGGTGTACCTTCAGATTTGACAACTGTCCAAAAGATTTGTAACAAACATTACACTCGTAGTGCATCTTTCCATCCCTCTTTCTGAGTGGGTAAGGCAGACTCCTGTGTCCCCTTGAGCCATGTCCTCCCTCCATTCTAGGTTTGGTCAGGTTGAGGACTTGTTCTGGTTGAGGCATCATGGGGCGGGGATGAAATGGCATAGGGGGTTGCTGGTTTCCCATCTGTTGGAAGGGTGGAGGGAACATCTGCCAAGGCATTCCTGGGTAAGGACCAAATGGATACATGGCTGGAAGATAGGGCATGGATGGGGAGGGGAAATACAAGGGTGGGCCTGAATGAGGAGGCATCTTAGACATAAATTTGTTGTCCTCAGGACGTCCCATATATGGGTGCAGTGGCATATTGTTTTTGTTGTCCATCATGGGGTTTGGCTGCATGAATTTGTAAAAGAATGGATTGAATGGGTTGAATTGATCTGGAAATGGTGCACGATCTTTCAGATCCTTGGGACTAGATTCTTCTGTTTTGATTTTTGGCTCATGGGCAGGTGAGATCTGGGGTTTGATGTCATTGGGTGACTTGAAGTCCAGGGAGGACATATCCCCCTTCAGCATTTTATCTGGAACATCCTCACCATTTTCCTTCATTTTTTTCATCAGGAGGCTATCAAACACTGCACTTGATGACTTCTTAGGTGTGCTGTGAGCCATGACAGGTTTTGGCTGGAAAGCAGACGGCAAAGAACTAGTTTGGAAGGCGGAGATGGGAGACAGTCTCTCCCTCATGTAACTAGCGTGAGGAGGAGATTTGGTGGGTGAGGGGATTATTTCCATGTCCTCTGACCTGTTTTTCTCCTCCCTGCTCCTATCCATCTCCTCACTCGAGGGGCTGCCATCCCTCTTGTGCAGACTGTAGTCAATGGCATAGCCATCGTCCCGGCTGGTATCGCTGCCTTCAGTTTTGGTCTCTTTGGTGATTTTTTCTGGATGGAATTTTGAATCGTCTAGCTCGGGCTTGAATGCATTGTGGCAGATGGGCAGAGGAAGAAGAGGCTTTGGCATGGTGATTTGTCTCTCTATGTACTGACGTCCTGTAATGATAATAAAATCAAAATAAATTTTTAAATTTCAGCCAATAAAATTCTTTTGTTCTTTTTTTTTTTAAATTTCTATAATGAACTTCTTACAGAAGCTTATGAAAAATTATCAAACTTTACAGCAATGCCATAATTTTTTTTTTTATTTATTTATTTCATTATTATTTTTTTATTTGAAATTCTAATAAAAAATACACATTTACTGAAAATATTTAACAATCAATTGATTGTATTTAGGAGTTCTTTAACCTCAAATTTGAAAATATAAAAAAATTTTAATGTTCTATTTTCACGTGACCAACAATGGTGATGTTGAAGAAGACGGTGAATTATTGGGAAAGAGAAAAATATCAATACTTATTAAAAAACATATTTATTTATGACATATCTGACATTATTATTCCTTGATATGATTTTATTCAGCTGTCAAAACTGACTCCCAACAGGAAAAAAATGTGTTTTTAATTGAAAATCGTGAAAGGAAAATTGAAGCGACAGATTTACAATTTAATGGCATTAAATTTACAAAATGGTGAAAGTCATTACGGCTAAGTTCTTTTGACGGTAATCTGAGTGGGCTGTAAGCTTTAGCGGGTACTTCCAAAAATCACTTTCATTGATCTAAGCAGGGAACCATCTAAATGACGTACTGTTTAAATATCTTTTTCTTGTATTTCATTTGAAAAGCCCAGGGATATAAAATGAACTGTTTAGGGCAAATAAACATTTATTTGGCATAAACGGTGATTATTTCCTAAACAGTGAGAAAAAGAAAAATCTTTACCATCTGAAATTTTTTTTTTAAAAGGAATCCGAGATGTCTAAAAAATTAACGATAAGCTTTGAAAGAGCCATAAAGCCACTTCATCCATTGTAATGGAGAAAGATCAAATCAAGTGTTAACAGTCCTTAAATTAGCGAAAACAGTTCTGATCAGATGTAAAAGTTGTTTATTTAATCGAATGATTACCAAGCTGCGATTAATTGGCGACTCTTGACATTCCGTGCGTTTGACCAAATCGATTGATTCAACACTCAAGTACAGAGAAAGTAATTTGCTCTCGTTACAATGGTGTAAAAGGAAAATCGTGGAGTTCAAACAACGTGCTAATTTTTCTGCACTCAGACACTGCACAGCTATCCTATAATTAGACACTGATTTAAGGAACTGCCAATTGTGAAAGAAACTCTTTTGGCTCCACTAATTAGGAAGTTACAAAAGTAAATGGGCGAGGAATATTATGAAAAAAAAATCTTTGACACAAACTCTGTGCCCTGAAAAGTGAAGATTTTCTCTAAGTACCTATAACTTGCATTTCATAATAGGAAATATATTCATATAAAAAATAACACAATTTTGATTTAATGATGAAAAATACATATTCTTTTTCTCTTTTCTCTTCATGGCATCATCGTATGAATTAAACAATTATTCAGAACATATTGCATGCACCAATCCATTTGCTGCTTACTTTTGTAGTCTCTTTGTAAATAAAGTAAATTAAAATTTTAAAATTTATTATTTTTTTGTCCATATTCATCATTTATAGCAGAAGAAATTCAAAAACTATCCAAAAAAAAAAAATTAAATTTGCATATGAAATCCTTATTTATTACATCAAGATGAATTATATGTGCCCCTTTCAAACAACTTTACAATATCAAAATGACTTTCGAGTAATTTAAAAATGATTTACAGACTTTATCAACGTAACTGATATGCTAATTTTCACCATGATAGCAAAATTTTCTTTTTATCATCTTTATAATTTAAAATAATTTTAAAATTCTAAATAATACCCGAATTACACATAATCATCTAAATCACTAAGACAGACCATAGTTTTAGCTGTTGATAGTTAGAAAGTGTCATATGCGAGGGGCATTAATTCATAAAAGGTATATTTAAGATGCCATATTACCATATTTAAGCAGGTACATTTTGTATCGGGTTTCATTTTCCAACGAAAAATGTGAAAATTAGATTAGCACTTGGGTCCGAGATCTTTAGATCTCCATAATTCATGATCATTAACGATAAAAGCAACAAGGTTTGCGTAAATTATTATTTTTCTATGATCTAGTGAAATTGACTCGTCGTCAATTATCTACAGAAGCAAAACAAAAAAAAAGCAAACGAGTGAGGTTTCAAGGCAATTAAAGTGACAGTGGAATATACTATAATTTATTCCCTAATCAATACCATTTAACAGATGGTGCACCGTATTTTTATTTTCTTATTGCAATTCTGATACCAACCAAATATGTTTCAATTAATTTTGCACTGTTAAGGTTCGTTTCTCAATGATTTTTAAATATCTTTTTTTTCACTGGCAATTTTTCAAATTGTCTATGCAATCAAGATTCAACAATTTAAAAAAAAAAGATCCCGATATGTTGGTTTGACTTTGAATTAAGGTGATCATTTAGATAGAGCCATTGAGCCTCAGTGAACTTACCTCAGTCACTGAACGAGATTTTCCGATCGCATTTCAAATTCTCATATTTGCGTGCAACACACTTCATGAGAAAATACCCTCCTTGGAGGGACTTCTATTGTTTTTTTCCCTCAATTTAATCACAATAAGTCATCTTTGAAAATCAAGATGCCCAAATATCTTTTCCCTGCCTATCTACGGTTTCAAAAAGGATTTCAGAGTCTATATTGTCAAGAATATTCTGCAGGCAGATCTAAATAACATTAAATCCTCCAAAAGTTCACTTTTCATTAAACAACAGCACTAGCCTGAAGAGCTAAAAGGACAGATAGTAGAAAATAAATCCCTGAAAAAATACTAATTTGTAATTCAGATCTAATTCTACCTATAAGAAAAAATATAGTTTCCATTTTCAAAGTGACATTGGGAAATTAAATTTCTTTGTACAGACATGGGAGTCAGTTTTATTTAGAATTTGGGGTGAATGTCTTACTCATATTAAAAAAGTAATGAAAACAAACGTTTATATGCACAGAAAGTACATGTAGATAAAATTTCTACCCTTTGTGATTGACACAATAAACTTTCTAAAAGGATGGAGGGAAGAGAGAATAGTTCAAAAATTTGCTGTCCAACAGACTATAATATTTTATCATTTCAAACATTGATTTTTTTTTTAAAAATTTTATTTAATTTTATTTTTTTTACCTTTGTGGAAAAAGAGAGTTTAGAAGCTGTATGCATAACAAATTATAATAGGTGCACTACTTTAATTGAAAAACCATTTTTAACTCCCTCAATAAATAAACAACAAAATAGAATCACCAAAATGTATGTCAGTTTAAAATTCTCAAAGTTCAATATTCATCAGGCATCTATTTAAAATCTAGATATTTTCAAATTTCACACAATACAAAATTTTTTTTAAAATTAAGTCCATAAAGGGAGGCAATTAGTACTTACTCCAGTTCTGTTAATTCTTTTTATTTATTTTTTTTATCTTTAAGGAAAAAGAGAATTTGGAAGCTATATGTATAGAATATTTAAATGGATACACTACTTTTATTGAAAAACTATCTTTAATTCCCCCTATACATAAGCAACAAAATAAAATCACCAAAATGAATGTAAACCTAGATATTTTCCAATTTTACACAATTTTTTTTTTTAAATCCATAAAAGGAGGTAATACTCACTCCAGTTCTGCAGCATTTCCTCCCCTGTGAGGGGGCAGTTGAGACGGTCAGCATACTCCCTACAGTACCACACCATCAGTTCTGTGTTGGGGGGGATAGGCTTAGTCGTGTAGAAGTAGATGTTGAAGTCAATTTGACACGCAATTAAGTTCTGCTGGGTAGCGGTGTACGCAAAGTTTGTGTAATGCATCCAGTTGCTACGGGTTACATCGCTGTTGTCCAAGAATTGGTACACATTGTTATTTTTGAAAACCTGAAATACAAAATCAAATTTTGTTTTTAAAATAAAAAAATCATGAAGCAGAGGAAAAATTTCCCTTTACATATAACTTTAATGCAGTGTATTATTTCCAAAAAAATTAAAGAATATAAAATATGGTACAACTTTTAAGAAAAAAAAAATCAAGGATTTTGTACGAAATTTGAATATTTTTTTTTTTATTTATAATTAGCAAAGGGAAATATCTCTTCAAAACTACCCTTCAAAAAAAAAGCATGTCTTTTATGCTTTGCGAACTTAAAGAAGACTTTCAATAATGTTAACAATCAAAATAGGAAGAAAAAACTATTTCAAAATTTTATCAATGAAATGGGATGTGCGGAAACCAAGAGGCTAAAAAATATTTATTTAATGATCCGAATTAAATATAACTCGTAACACTGAAATAGTCTGGGTGTCATTTCGTGTTGCGTTAGGGGGTCCAGGAAGCTAGACGCGCAGAGTGAGTTATTATACCGATATCGGCCTAATCTAAATGCAATGGTAATGTTCAGCAACTATAAAACGTGTGTCATTTTGACAGAAATATAGATATATATAACATTACCAAAATGAATTGATAAGACGTTTTTTTCAATGAATTATTTTTTGGCTGACAAAAAAATTGTATATTTGAGTACAGATTTCAAATTCTGTCTAAATGCATGGGGAGTTTAGATCACATACAGTCGATGAAGATAGAAATACAAAATTTACAACTTTCGAATGATATTAGCAGTTGTTATCTTTCAGATATCAATTTTTTTTTATCTCCCCTTCTTATACAAATTTTTTTTTTCCTTATTAAATTTAAACACATCATGCAGGAACCGTTCGGTGATTATAAATGTATTTTTTTGGTTACACTCACTTTTTTAAGAGTCAAATGAATATGGTGATGAATGGAGAAACATTTCATTTTTTTATTAAACTTTCAAGATGAATAAAGTGAAATGACAACATATTGATAGATAAGTTTTAAAGTTGGTGAAAGAAATATACATTAATCATAATTCAACTTTTCATATTTTGAGCATATATTACAGACAATTTTCTTCTATAACGATTTAAATGTCAACACATTACGAATAGAAATCCCGAATGACTTGGATCTCCACGCAGATAGTGTGTCAATTGAAATTTATCTTTTTACAATTTTTTAAAAAATGGGTACCAAATCCAAGAGATAAGTTTAAATCGAAACACATGTTTTGATAAAATATCTCTTAAATTTCTCTATAGTTGCCATACAAATAAGTAATTTTAAAGTCATCACTTGAAAACGTAAAACAAACCATATGGACATACCTCAGATTTTTCCCCTGCCGTTTTACTTTCAGTCATAAAAGAGATTAATATCAGAAATAATATTGTTCGTACTTGCAAAATGACATCATCGAAAAGAAAAGCCTTCTCTCGGATTTCATATTTTTATATAATGTTTTCCAACAAACCTATAAAGTGGGGTGTCTAAATACAAAGTTTTCCCCCCAAATACGAAACACGACCACTGATCCTTTTATCAACGCGGATTCCCTATCTGAAAGTAAATCCCATATTATCTCGTTTATGTATCTCGACTCTGTTTGAAAAAATTAAAGATAGAAAGTCATGACGATTTTTAAATGAAATTAATCTGCTAGAAGAGCTGGCAAAAAAACCCTTACATGTGGTTTCAAACATTTACTTTTGCGTTTTTTCAGTTTAAAAACCCTTGCTATACGAATCTGGAATGCAGGTATTAGGTACGAGTTGGACAATACTAAAATTGATACAGCTTAACTTTTTTGGTTATCTGAGATGCCTTTAATGCTCGGGATCAAATGAAAGTAAAATACATCTGCAAACAGATACCAGGTATCTAAATTACCTAAAGGCGAAAATAAAAGATATAAAATAACCCGAATCTACAATATTATTGCTCATACAGATGTTTATCTGGACTCTTGATAGGTGCCCATTTTGAAAAGACGGTACTGGTAGAAGCAAATCACAACTTTCGTATGCACTCTCTACCACTCTCACTCGGGGAGAATTTTAATTAGAATTGACAATTTTAACTTTCTCTGATGACATGATACATGAACAGTAGCAATAAATCCTTCCTATTTTACCCCCTCTATACAAAGCCTATTGGCTAAAAAATTAGGCCTATACATATTTGTCAAATGACTCTCAAAACTTAATTTTATGAAAGAAACAGAAAAAAAAAAACTTTATAGGATACCTGCAATTTAAGTAAAAATGAACCAAATATATATTTTTTTAATTTTTAAATTTTTTTTAATCAGGTGCGTTATCCTTTTCCTATTAGACAATTAATCTTGGTAAATTTATACTTTTAAAAGTAATATATATGTACTAAATTGATAAACAATCAATATTTCTTTAATCAAAGAATATAACATTGTTATTGTCATCCAATTTTTCGATAAAGAGCTGGTACAGGAATTCATAGCAAGATAATATGTTAAAAAACTATTTTTCAACAACCAACCATTGAAGCTTTAGGGTGTATACAGTAAGTTTGGTTTTTTTTGGACTGTAAAAATAAATTACTGTGTAATAAATTATATTTACCTTCCAAAGAGAAATTCTGTCCGATTCTTTTCTAGAGAATGGCTCGCGGGAAAACACTTCTCCTACGAGGGGTCCAAATCTGGTCCCCCGGGGTATGTAGTCAAGGCTCCACACTCCTAGACCCTGCAGGAAAAAGAAACCAGAAAATTGTAAATCACCAGGAAATGACCAAAAATATCAAAAATATTCAATCAAAAGTCAATATTTGTTTTTCAACAGTCAAAAACAACAATAGCCTTCAGTCAAGTGGAAAAAGACAGGAAATATTACCTTTATAATATTCTCAAAACACGCAGTCTCTGGTATTGAGCAAGGCTTTACACCGAATTATGAATCTTTACTTTTTTTTTTTAAAAAGAAATGACAAGAACTTTTTCCTTCTTTCACAGATTTTGTATTAATGAAGAAAAAGGCTAAAGATCCTCAAGTTTTAAACCAGCAAAGGTAGAGATATAAATTATAGATTGGACCCCCTACCAATTCTCCAGAGATAGCAGAGACAGGGATTTTTTATATATATATACACACACGGCTCGTACAGAGCGAAGTCGTCAGTAAAAATTACATCTAATATTTCGATGCCTTCAGTGACCCTCGTAAGTTCAGCCGCTCAGTTTCCCTGATATGACAGCCCAGGGGGTGTGTAAAAAAGGAAATCTCATGATAGAGCTCAAGGAAAATGAAAAGCTTGAAGGAGGCCCATCAGTCGAACTTACAGAAGTATGTACAGCTGTCAAATCGACAAGTGTTTATCCAATGAAAATCTCCTCCATAGACGATTGATGTTCTAAGAGATTCAATGACTGATCCTCATCGCCAAATTTGTTCCCATCAAGGGATGACCGTGATCAAGCGCGGAATTAAGAGGTGGGTGGTTTACTGTGGGGGGATCAAGGTGTTCCTCCTGTCTTTGGAGTTTAAAAACCCCTCAGATCAGCCCTGGAGCTGTTACTTTTCTTAAAACTCGTGAATGAACATCCCAAGCAATTACACTAGCAAGTGGGAGTCATAAATTCATAATTGACTCATAACCTTACTGAACATATATCTATACAGTTTAGGAATTTTTTTTTTAATTTTCACTAAATATTTGATTTATTTTTTAATAATAAATAAATTTGAATGTGAATTCATAAACACATGGAACCAATGGTTGATCATATCTATAGAGAAATCACAAATAACTAGAAATTTCTTTACTGGGGGGTAAAATAGTATTTAATAAAATAATAATGAACTACTCACTTGAATTTCAGGTGAAATGGTAAAAATGCACACATACAACGTAAAGAAACAAAAATCAGGACCAAGCAATTAACCAAGGATGAGACGAAAACTGGGCTGGGTTTTTTATTGCAGAAACTGAGTACAGGAAAAGAACCCACACTTATTTCAAAAGCCCCCACTTCACAAAAGCCAAAAGTGTTCCCCTAGTTAGAAAATCAGTCATTGGGAGAATATGGAAAGTGAATGAGTCTTCCCTCTTCAAAGAAACTTTCAAAGCTGTCAACACACTTCGTCAAAAAGCAGGGGCTGAAAAGCCACTTTACAATGCAGTGGACGATTTAATTAATTCGATAATACTTGAAAAGTGAAAATTCTGTCAACTATCTAGACCATCTTCTCACACCTGCAAATCTGCAAATGATATTTTTTCCTATGAAAACATTCGACTAGATATATTCTACTCACTTCTTATGCTAAGGCTTAATTAATTCTAAAACTTCATTATCAAGGACTCCTATGCATGTGCAAGTCTTCTAACAACCAATAAAATTAAACTAAAAGCCAGGGACATAATTCTTTTTTACATCAATGCATCATTCAGATGATTACCATTATATTCAATATCAACAAGGTTTAAGTTCAACAGGCATTCTCAGAAAAAAAAAAAATATTTATTTGGGATAAAAAAAAAATCATTTTTAAAAAAAAAATCCTCTTTTATCAAGATACATGCATTTGATTAATGTTTCGGCAGAAGGAACCTGCAAACTAGCCCTGTCTACAAATTGATCACGGATGAGCTTTTAATAGCTGCCATGCATCATTTCTGATCTTTCATTCATAAATGTTTCCCTTGATAACACTGACCTGCAGGATTAGCTATAAAATTCACACTGAAATTTCTTATCCGTGAAATGACCATAGAGTCACGCAGCAGTAAAAATTCACCGTGTGGCTCCCCGCTTATGATAACCACTGACTGTTAGCCCTAGTTTTGAATTTCATTTCCTATTGCTTAAATACCCACTTATAATTCTTTCGATTTGCATCTTCAAAAGTTGGTAATCTTCGTAAACAGAACAGTAAAAGAAAAAACTGACCTTCCTCTCCTGGTTATTTTACTTTCAGAATGATAGGGGGAAAGATTAGGCGATATCTTTTTGCCGTACTGAAAGCTCCCAGTCTTGCATTTTGCCACACCTTTCACTTTTATATGCAAATTAGCTGTTATGATTAAATTCAATACATATGACCCTAATTTCAGTAACATAACACTCATTGTATGGAGAAGATGGTCATAATTTAAATATTTAACATTGGTTCCTGTATTCAAATAACCTTTTTCATTTGACAGGTTCAATTTTCTGGTGAAAACCTATATCTTTTCCTTTGTGGAAAATGACAAAAGATGCAGTTATATGATGTTCATGCCAGTCAAATTTAAAATAATTTAATTTTTTCAAACCACGATAAAGACAGACGCGGGAGAAAGTCAAGGGCCATCAAAATAAGAAAATTACGCTTTCCGAAGGACAGCATTAATGTGCATCGGAAAAATTGACAAAACTTTTTTAGAGAGAGAAAATTGACTTTAAGTCGCTGGTGGGACAATTAACCATTACGAGGGGCGTCAATGATTGACATGAGGGGAGGGTAGAAAAACGGCCTTAACAAGGGAAAAACGGCCTTAACAAGAGAGTCATTCAATGGATACAATTTATCTGGTCGGCTAATTTTTGACGTAATTGCAGGTAAAACGAAGCTGGTGATATTTCACAGCAATTGAAAGTTATAATCACAGAGAGAGAAAAATAAAATAGAAATCACAACATTTTTTCACCTTATACCCAGCCATTCATCAATACAGTCTGCCAGAAAAATGTGGTCCTTGTAATAAATAGATGAATTTTAAAATTTGACTTCGGTAATAAGAAGAGACTATTTAAAATGAAAGGAGATAATAAAATACACAAAGTTTGATCCTTTTACACCTACATGTACAAAACTCGTTAATTTGTTTGGCTGGACACAAATTACACAGTTGCATTTTTTAAGGACAACAGACTGCAAGGCAAAAATTACCTCCTTCTCTGAAGAATGCAAACAAAGTGACTTTGCAGCCATTCAAAAAGTTTGTTTGAAAATGAAAATTTATGAAAAATTTCAATTTCATATATGAATGGATTATTGATGCCAAATTACAATTTGTCTGCAAGTCTCTCGACATCATGGGTCTCCATTTAGACTGTCTTCCTGTGCTTATATTATTATTTTTTTCTTTGATTTGCAGACCTGCATTTGTTTGTTACTATCTTGCTTTGTGATTTGTTTCAATTTCAGAGGAGACACGCATTATTGACTAAATAACTATGTCTGAACTGTCATAATACTACCTCTTTACCCCCAGAGTCTCAGATTTTTTTTTTTTTTTGTATAAATACATGTACATGTATATATAGGAATTCAGGAAAAATTAATATTTCTTTAAATTTTAAAAATCATAAGAAAGGAAAATTTGAAAATGATAATAATTTTAACACAGAACTGATCTACAATTAAAAAAAAATTCTATCTGAAATTGCTAATTTCTTAAATAAAAGTGAAATTTTGCTGGTGTTAACATTTTAATTTCTATTCCAAGGTTAAACCACTAATATTTTGTACCAAAATTTCCCAGTGAAAAAACCACAGCATTGTATAGACACACAACTATCATTTTCTCATGATGGAAGTGTGATCGTATACAAGATAATATACAAAGCGGATTAAGTGACGCGATCTCATTATGAGAACAACGTGGTATAACCAAAAAGTGACAATGAAAAGCCACTAGAAATGACTGTAAAGAGATAAAGCTTTATCTACGATTTCTTTTCTTTAAAAAAAAGTTAACATTTCCCTGAGAGAAAATGGGCAAATGAAAATGCTGTTAATTAGATAATTTTGAGGATTTTTATCTCTTTAAAAGGCAACAATAAAGAAGGAAACTCCGAAATTTTTTCCCAGTGAATTAAAGTGAAAATTATTTGACAAAAGAATTTTTCTCTCTCTTACTCCACAAGGGTCAATTTGTTATTGCGGTCTAAATCGAATGAATTTGATTTCACAGTTTGATCATAATCTGGGTAAACTTTACTGTTCGATTGAATAAATATGAATCATCACTACAAAATGATTTCATGGTGTCTATTCCGATGCCATTTCTTTCTATCATGGATACACTCTCGTCAATTTGGTCTATAATTTCAGAATTTGGAATGAGCGAAATGTTATTGACAAACAAACGGCAGTGTGCGTGAGATCGATAAACTAGCAAGATTTGAGACACCTTTTCTGCGATAATCACGGATTACACTATCACTTTCTTGATAGAGAGTGACAGGGAGGGGAAAACAATGTCATATAATTCGGCGGATTTTCTTTCTGCGTATCTGATAAATCCAAGGATTCGCTTTCTATCTATGGGAATGTTAAGACATTTTTCACACAATATTCCCCCACTTTAATGGATCAAATATTGACTGGAATTAAGTAACAGTAGATAAGGGAGAAAGTTTGTAAACTTTTAGTCAATACTGGGAAAATCTAATGAAATGGTATCTAAACATATAAAAATTTCCCAAGCTTATAAAAACCTACAAGACATATAACTTGGCAAAATTTTTTGACTATTTGAACTTTGTATGCATATAGAATAACATTGAAACAACTGTTTAAAAAATGATTAGAAATTCAAATTACCCATTTCATATCACTTGGATTCGCACTTCATTATCTTTGATAGAATACTTAACATGAAAACTGAAAAATTTTACATGCAAAAATATGACGAAAAAAGTCAAATTTAGGTTCGGAAAAGTGTGTAATTGACTCAGTATCATGCCGGCTTATCTTGTTTATCAGAGCCCCCAATCTCAGAGATCAGTCCTACATCCCCCGTAATTCACTAATTCTATTTACTTACGCTGAATGCAATAGCATCAAACACATTTCCCTCCCCCCTTTGGTTCTGGCTCCAGTTTTGAAGAGGTGATAAAAGTTGCTGTATTCAAAACTTAATTTCTTTTTTATTTTCTTTAAAATATGGCCAGCATTCATCATCATTAACAATTCCACCAGCTAATGTCTGAATTAAACCCCCGACCCATCTGTCTGTATTTACGGAAATTTAGGATCAGGCTGTAATCCCACATCTAAGGGAAATAATCCTTTGGTTGGAGCAAACAGATAGTTGGCTTCATCCGATAATCCCGAAAGAAAATTGAAAGTTTGGAGTTTTTTTAATAGCTTATTTAGGTTGGTATGAAGATCTAAATAGTTGAACTTGTTTTTTTTTTTAATGTATAATGTCTGTAAGCTTTGAGCAAGTGCCACCTGGACATGCTGCCCTTGAAATTCAATTAAAATATCCCCAATCAGAATAACTATTAAGATCCAATTAATTATCATACAAAGTAATTAGAACTGAAGAAATTCTATAAGATCATACTTCAGCGGATTCAGTTTGGAAAAGTTTGATGATGACATTGCTGTATTTTAAGTATAACTCTTCAAAATTTCCAGCTATACCCAAACCTAATTAAGTTTGGATTAACAATCAATTTTTAAATTACTTTGAAATTCACAGTTAATTTTTTTCCTAATCTGTCTAAAATCTGACCAAAGATTTCATGTTGTGGTGGACTTGCTTCAAAAGTAACAAGTTCATTGAAATGAGTTTTAAAGTAATTAATATATTTTTCAAAAGAAAACCTCAGAAGAGAATAGCAGTATCTCTCTTAAAGGCTGGCCAAGGAATTATTTACTTTACGTTCTACTCTTGTCTATTAACTACCAGTGTAGATCATTATCTCCGCTATTGAACGGACTTGATGAAATTTCATTCACGCTAAATACCATTTTAATCAGGAACAAATTCAGAGAAAAAGTGTTAGGTGCTTAGAAGAAATTGAGAGAGAAAAACAGAAAAGAAATTGCCATAGAAAGGTGTGTTTAAGTGAATCGTATCTTTGAAGAAAAGCAATCAATCTCGTATAATAAGTTTATAATAAGCCTGCCTATTCTATATGTCTTTGGGATTACTCAAGAATTTTTACATGAAATGATCAACTTTCTATCAAAATAAATACATTAATGTTTGTATTATGCATGTAACAAAGATCTGTTGAGTAAACGATTACCAAAATATCACATGCTAGATATATGGAGATGTATCGTTTTGAGTAGAGAAAGGTTTCTAAACGTTGAGAAAACTCTGAAGATCTCAGAATGTTTTTTTCCCAAAAGTGTATCAACTTGATTTTTCTCAAAGATGCTTAGAGGAACTATGGCCCCCTTTTTGTAAAACTAATCATATTCTTTATCGTCATTTTCTGGACAACTTGCGATTGTGCTATCTTTTTTAAAGTTTGAAAAAAAAAACCAAAGTTGCCCAAGAATGGGAAGACAACTGAGTACAAAAGGCTTTCTCAGCAGGAAAAGGACGGAAAAATCAAAAGTATGCACACAATGTAAAAACAACGGATACAGCTGCCAAATACATAGTTTTTCTTTGAAGCTTAAAACTGATCTTGCTTTCTCACAAGATTTTATGAAAACTTCTCAAAGAGTTGAATGGAGTCCGTTTGGGGCCTTTTTCAGTTTGCTCACAATACTGGTTACACACACTCCCGTTTTTTAACAAGACTTTGATATTCCAATCTAAAGATGTCCCTTTTAACAACGAAAAGCTTTTTTCTTTAGCTAAATAGTTCCCCTTCTTTTATAATGTAAAGGAATGTAAACAAGAAATAGAGTTTCCTTTTTTTCACTCCAATTTTTCAAGTCTGCCCCCCATGAAAAAAAATAAGGGTAATAATTAAAGAGAAATGTCTATAATTTTCACTATTTTCATTTACAAAATAGGTGTGTGTGTTTTTTTATGTATTCCAAATGTAAAACACACAATAGCGGTACACCATTGTTAAGTATCAATGAGAAAACTTCAAAAAACACTTTCAAACCTGAGCAACAGGTAGCCCTTCAACTATTTCCACAACTTTCTTAACTCTAAATAAACATATAATTATAAATTGAAAGTTAAAGATTGAAAAGACATGGCCAGGCCAAGTGAATTCAATGAGATCTAAAAAAAAATATTTCCCTCTTCTATCTATTTAAGAAATCCTTGGAAGAAAAAAAATAAAAGCCAGATACAAAAGAAAACAAACTGATATTTTCCTGTAAATTTACTGTTTATATTCACAGACTTGAGCTTAAAATTGTCGAAGTATACCCATGCAGTCTTTATATCAAATTGGATAAGTATTGCACAAAACCTCAGAGCTCATATTGCCATCGAAGTTGTTCACAAACCTTCAACTCAATTAAGATCAAATCAATGGATATACTGAAAACAGAAGAACTTTATTTTTAAGGATATCTGCTCCTCAGCCAGGAAAGATAACTCTTAAAAGTATTACTTTATAAATTTGAAAATGAAGCTGTTTTTTGCAACAATATTCTTTTCATGCATCTCAAAATGATTTAAGATCATAAAATGTTGACATTTTCATCAGAACCTGAGGATCAGACTACCTTAAGAAAAAAAAGTGGCCTCCATTGAATACACTCACATGGGTTATATAAGTATTTCAAGGTACTCACATTATTGACTTGGTTCTGTGAGGGTTTCAGGGTCAGGTTTCTGGGTAGGGATGCTTGAGCCCTGTTTGGACACACTCGCTCACATGCTCGGTCATGAACGATGTACACACAAAATTCTTCAAACTCATCTTCCTTCAGGTTAGAGCTGTCCCAGCATTCCTCTAAATCTGTGATGAAATTAAAAGTTTAAATTATACTTGGTACAGAAGAAAGAAAGACCCATATTCTTAATTCTGAATTTGACCCAGCTCTCAGTGTCAAAGTAGAAGTTCAAATTATACTTGGTACATAAAGAGTTGGAATACCCCCTCCCCTCTTTCAAAACTTGGTTTTTCATTCAACTCTCAATGTTCCCAAATCGTCATTTGCAGTAGTCAATACTTAATCAACTTAATATTTTACTTTCAAATTGATGGAGTTATAATAAGTATTGATGGTAACATCAAATAAAAATTTTAAAAACTTTCAGTAAGTACAAGTTTCTCTTTCAAACTTTATTGTAGATTTCTTAAAACTACATTTGAACCAACAAGTATGTGAAAGGACCAATCTGGTTTCAAATTTATCATATCAAAAAATGATGATAAAACAAGGAGCCTAGATTTAGAGGAAAGGCCTAGCTATCATTGTGTGACACTCAGTGTGAACAAAATTTGAATGACTGGGAAAACGCAGGATCTTCATGTTGTATAATCTTGAGTATCAAAATTTAAACCCTGTCAAATTATGAAAGTTTTATCAGCTTTTCTCCCTAAAAATTGATAACTAGTGTGGAAGTTTGTCCTCCAAAAGGTACAAACTTCAGCAAAACACTCGAAACCTGGTCAGTTTCCCTATCTGTATCCACTGAAGAAGTCCTCAAGGTCTGGCTGAATTTGGTACAGAGGGGTAGACTTATCACACTAACACAGGGAAAAGTACTTGTTTTATCACAAAACAAACAACACAGACAAGAAAACTTCTCCCAACATGTTTTGACATCTGCCTTTTAACAGGGGATAACTCTCTCTCTAGACAGTAGTATCAAAAACTGAAGTGCGTATTGGACTTTCAACATATCCCCCCCTCCCCTTTCTCGTCCCTAATCAGTGGTTGCTAAATCTGAGGAGAAAAAAAAGAATGATGACTAGAGGTGTTCCATATTAAAGTGTCAAGTGCTGCGATATTTCATTCATTATCTATAAAAGCATAATTTTTCATTCATTATCTCTTGGTTTCCTGGGGGTTGAGTCCGTGGGGAAGTGAGTTTAAACCGCAGTCTAGATCCTGTTTAGAGCATTGTGGGTTTTTTTTCCTCTCGTTCAGACATCGCAAAGTGACGCCGGCTTTTAAAAAAAAGGGTGATAGTGAAGTTTACAAGCCCTGATTTAATGAGGCCTTGTGTCTTGGCTTGATTTAACAGGTCTATACTATGACAAGATTATAAATTTAATAAATATATTTGAAACGGATGAGCAAATGGTTTAGCACGATCTGCGGGATGATATCACTCCGGCAACTCCGCAGGGTGGTGGAGAAAAACAAAATTTCGTAGTAAATAGAACGAAATAGGTTGTAAGACTTATCAGATATATATTATCTTTTTGGAGTTAAAGATTTAATGAACATGAAACAAAAATAAACACTTTGAATGCTCATATCTACTTGTTTCAAAATAGAAAATGTCAGCTTTGCATGGCAAGGAAACCCCACTGTTTCGACAATCTTTTCACTTTTTATGATAAAAAAAATCACTTTTTTTTATCACGAGTGAAAAAGAGGATTGTGGGGGCTCAAGTATGAACATTAGAGGGAATAAATACGGCTCAAACAAAACAGAATTAAAGTGCATTGTATGATCTCTTTGCATCTATAAGAACTCTTACTTCAAAAGACTCTCCATCTAACTTTGTAAAAACACAAGTTATCTCCCCTAAAATCACAGTGAATTTATTTTTGATATATTTCATAGAGGAGGAAGCATGATTCATGAAGGTCACCCCTCCCGCCTCGATGTTTCTCTCGTTTTTGTGCTCGTTTCACCTTTTTGGAAACCTTTTCATCTTTCTTAATATAAAAAAGTTGTTTTTATCTCAATTTAAGCATCCTAAATGTGATTTTGACTAGCTAAATTATTGCTTCTTGAAAATCGGAAAAAAATAATTTCACCACCAATTTCACACATTTTATAATGAGTATTTATTGATGGGGAGAAAAAATATACAAAACCTTTTGAATGAGACAAACTGGTGCATCAAAAAATTGATTTGCTATCATTGAACAACAATTCATAATTATACAGAAAGCATTTTTTCTCTTCTGTCAATATTGGGGGTAACACATTTCTCCCTTTTTATATTTTTTTTCAAATTGACAAAATAAATTAATAAAAAGGAGAAAAATAAATGTATTTTTCATAGAAATGATTGTTTGAGTGCAGTGTAACAGCTCTTCAACCTTTTATATGCACAAGAAGAAAAAAATAAATAAAAATGTGGGTTTTTTTCACGGATGGAAGTTGTATTATTAGTTCGACAACTGTTAGAATCATTAGCTGGCTGATGGGGCTTTTTTAAATTTCAATACAGTCACTGGGACAGTATTGGGGCTCTATAAATCATTAAGATGAAATGGAGACCATATTAACCTTCTCTGTCAGTCTATAGAGAGAAAAAATAAGATAATCATCACCTTTAAATTTTTTGCTCTGAATGATTGCTGTGGTAACAGATTGTCAGTGAGAGAGATGTTTTATTTTTTCCATTTCAATGGTCAGATTAAAAAAAACATCTCTAAGATAAACCTCCATCTTCTTTGCATAACTTCTATCAGAGAGAGAGAGAGAGAGAGAGAGCGAGCAAGAGAGAGAGAGTGGGGGGGGTTTAAAAAGTGAAGATTGAGCATTTCATACAAAATATGCAGTCAAATTTCACTTTTAACTTCATAACTTTCATTCTTAACTTGATTATTATAGAATATAAACCCTGAAGAAATACTAATTTTCAAAAATTGTAAAGATGTAAAAAATTGATTAGAAAGTTTAAACAGGACACCTAGATATCTGTTATATGAATGGGAAAGTTGAATGAAACCCTTTATTGTTTGATTAAGATAATATGTCTAAACCAATCACAGGCCTATAAAAACAGCTAGTTTGTCTGTCTTCCCTATCAATAATTGTAGGTCTTAAAACTTGATAATAAAATCACATGTTTGTTTCACTGATAAAAAAGTGTTAATGTAGATTGCAGATTAATTTATAAAGTACTACAATAAATAACTTGTTTATGTGATAGATGCATAGCATTTATATTTAATTGGTTTGTACTTAATGAAATAGCTACTTTAATAGTAGCAGATGCATTAAAGTTACATTTTCAATTGAAATTGTATGCTTTTGAAAAGAAAGTATATCAAAACTACAAAAAATATTTAAAATTTTTGAATTAAAATCTAAATGTCTATAAAATTTCTCGCAATGAGTTTTCTTTGGTTTTCAAGACTCACAATACTTATTCAATTTATAGAATGCCTGCTAATGACTACAAAAGTGTGTTAATTTATTAGACAAGTATGCATTAATTAAGATATAAAGAAGTTCATAAACAATTTACTAACTAATGAGTACAATGCATGTCTTTTCAATTCTTTTAAATTACACATCAAATTCCAGCCAATATACAATCTTCTTTGTGTAATTGCACAGTTATAAGGGCATTTAAATCTTCAGTTAATTAAAAATTTGCTCATTACAACCATGTTTAAAGTTTCAATTAACTTTTAAATAAGTTATTTTTCTTTCATATTCTTTTAAAAAGCCATGCAATTATATAATTTTCCAGAATTTAAAAAACAAAAGTAAAATTAACATATCTTTTTTTTACATTAATTAAAAAAATAAATAAAAATAAAAATTAAATTAAAATTTTAAAAACTTTTAAAAATTGAAAAACATTTTTAAATAACTCACTTCGAAATCTTCTTGGGTCTTTGGTAAAAAGCATTCTTTAGTTGTTGCAGAAGTTAAAACAGTATAGTGAGTGCAACCCGTTAACTGCAAAAATACTCAGGTTGCCTTCTCGACAGAATGAGATATTAATACAACAAATTTCTCGATTCGGATAATCCAGGTATGTTTAACGGAGAGACATTAGCTATACCCAGTGATTGACACTCTGCAGCAGATAGATTTCTTCAGGTGTGATACTGACAGACAGCCCCTATAGTTATCAATGTAATGTTTTTACCTGGCCACAAGAGTTAATCATCATTGGCTTCTATCTTAGGACCATTCCATTCATGGAAAAAAAAGTTACAGACTGGCCCAGTATCAAATCAATAAATTAACAAAAAAATATCAAGGAGAAAAAATCTTAATTTAAAATTAAAAAAAAAAATTTTTGTGGAAATGAAATTTTTAATTAGTAAATAATATTTATTGATCTTTTTTATTATAATTTTTTTAAATTTTGTCTGTTGTTTGTGAGTTAATTATCTTTAGTATCAAGGGAAGATGGATCAAGGGGGAGGAGTCAGTTATCGCCTTCATTAGTTAGGCCTCAGGTGAGACGATTCACTGATGGGGGGCAACAATTCAATCGAATTGCAATGCACACTCCCTCTTCCACCAATCAGATCAGCTGACAAGCTGCTCCGGGTTAATTGTGTGTTTCAACAGGTAAAAAATAAAAATAAACGAGATTTACTTCATGCATGCACACGAAATTACTGTTTAGTTCTACAATATAAAATCTTAGAGACAAAATGCGCTGACTTCTAGACTACATTGCAATCCTCCCATTGTGGGAATGCAAGCTCTTTTTTAAATGGTTTCCGAGCGGAGGTACGAAATAACTATTCTGTTTAAATCCCTAACCCAAGACCTTGTCTTTAAGACTTGAAATTAAATTTACTTTTAGTTTCAATTAACCCCAATGTTCACATCTTAATCTTAAAGTTTTCTCGCTTTTAATCCCCGAGAAGTGAAGTCATCCAGTGTTTGCTTAATCCTGAGGATTAAGTTTTCACGACTGCGTATTGTTGGAGTACACATTAATATGCTTATGTGTGCAGTGTTGTAGACTTGCCTGTTTCGTAGGACAATCATAAATTCTGCTTCCCTGAAAGGTAGCTGTCAGACCATAGTATCAAATGAAATACTTTAGACAATGTAAATGAATTTAACTTTTTTAATAAAGAAATACCAGACATCATGTAGAAAACTTTACGATTAATTTTTATCTACTTTTCGGACTTAAATGTTAGGAGAAAGTATTAAGTATTCAAATTTATCTGTACACCTTCTAATTTAATTCTAAAATTCACAGCACCCATAGAAATCAGAAATTATTTTCAGATAACATTATCAGTAAGCATGCAAATAAAACCTTTCCTTTGAGAAATTTTAGTTTTATTAATATGATTTTTCCCCCTTCTAATACATAAATCACTTTTCTGCACATATATTAGATCTTCATTCTGCATGCAGCAAACTGAAGCCATGAGATTCTAGGGGGAACATGACAATAAATTAAAGTATTTATTCCTTGATAAAGAAATGATACTCAAAGACACCAAGATAAAACCTAAATCCTATAAAGACTGATTTGCAGAAATGTCAAACTCCTCTCAAAACATGACTATGAACTTTTGATAGGTGAAAATATTTCAGGTGTTGCAGATAGGAAAATTAATTGTTATCTAATCTTTTGGGGGGCTCAACTTCCATGAGAAACCAGTACTTGCTTCCCAATTCCTTAACCACTTGGACTTTTTCAAAATATCTACAAGTATCTAAGACAAGATTAATTCACAAATAATCTCTAAACTGAGACTTAGAAAAACTATATTCTTCTGTTTTATCTTGTCTCAATAATCAGATTTCTCCTTTAGTAATTCTGAGAAAACGGTATACAGCTAGGCCACTGTCTTTAATTGAGGCAGTGATTGGTCAAGTTTCGAGAGAGAAGCCCTTCATATACTGGACACCTGTGCAAAATGTTTGTTGTCATAAACATTTCACAACATCAAAGGCATACGGATCTGTTTTTCTTCAACTTCTAACAGAGTATTAAGTTACAAATCTCTTATTTAGATTTCACACTTTTTTTTCTTCATTATCAGTTTCTATTAGAATTAGAATGTATATACCCCCATATCTTCCTGGATGCATGTTTTTCTTGTCTCCCCTTAATCAAGACAATGGCTCCACTCTAAGCCAATAATTTTATAAAAAGATGATGCAAGTCATAAAAGCAATTAAATAATAAAAAAACATGTCTCTAGTGATATTCAGCACCATTTCCTATAACACATATTGCGCAACACCATGTTATTTACACAGCAATGTACAATTTACAATTCTATAGGAAATGTGACAAGTTTTATGAAACTAATGACCAGAAATTATTTGTCTCTTTCAATACACATGTGCAATAATGATATGATATTGATGCCTTTGTATAAAGACAGTTACTTAATATTATGCATATGTTACCAGACATTATCATGTGACCAGGAAAAGTGAATACTTTTATTTTAGCCCCAAATTGATTTCTAAATTAACAATGAACATTAAATGGATTGGCATACAAATTATCATGGCAACATGTTTCTTTTAAATTAATTCATTGAAAATACTGTTCAATATATGAATGATTCATCAAAGTTTTTTTCCCTATTTGTTTTTTTTGCTCTCTCTCTCTCCCTCTCTCTCTCTCTCTCTCTCTCTCTCTCTCTCTGCACAGCAAAATTATTAATTCTAATGAATTTAAAACATAATTAAGAGACTTATTGTGATAGTGACAAGATAAAATGAATACATATCTATAGTTGTACTTTTAAATAAAATGTAATTGAAATTTGAAAAAAGACTGGTATCTAAAATATATGTCTGCCTTAATTCAAACAGAAAGAAAGTTATTACAGAACTTCTGGAAAATAATAAAATTAAGCCATAAGTTTTTGAAAAAACATAACTATAAAATCCAGTGATGAAAAACACTCAAATGTTTCAAACACTTTAACACAGTCAAATCCATCTTTGACCCCTTATCATCAAGAGAAAAGCACCATTTCTACAGTTTGATGAAAATCTCGTAGATAAAATTATATTTTTTCTCCAATAAAATCTTCAAACACATAAATATAAAGAAATTACCCAGGATATAATTATGAGAATTATCTATGGGGGGAGAGATATTTCGAGGGTTCCAGGAGCCTGGGATATCGTAGAATTGACTGTAAAATTTTGACGTTTACGAGGAGCCACATGACATTGCGGAGACAGGGTCTCTACCCCACGCAATAACGTTATTGCTTGTATCAATTAGCTCCGTGATTTACGTAGATATCGTATCTAATGCCGTAACCACTATTCGAAGAAAAAAGCATTACAACGATATAATTTTGAATCTTTCATAAAAGTCATTGCCATTGTCATTTTTTGTATTCAGTTCCCCGAGAGGTAATGCTTTTAGCGGTTAGATACTGCAGATCAATGGCGACTGTTTTATTGAGCTCTTGAATTTCTCAAACTGACTTTTATTTTTTAACAAAGATTAAATTTAAAGCCCCTATGAAATCTTGGTGATATTTTCTATATTTTTTAGGGGAAAAAATGGCCCCCCTTATAAAAAAAAAATGGTAATGTTTTGAAAGTACACAACAATCATGAAACACTGCTTTGTTCCGGAAAACCCCCAAGTCACTTGGTTTAAACGATTTCCTATTATATCACTTTCGATAACCCATAATTATACTTTCTCCCAGATCCCGATATCTTTTTATCCTGTTTAAATATTTGAAAATAACACTGTCTCCCTTATTTACTCTGAAAGTTCATTCAATTTCAAATTCAAAAAAACTATCCTTGAAAATTTTTACAAATGTCCAGCAAATTTATAGCATGTCAACATGCAAACTCTTTGTTAATTGTGGGAGTTTCCATGATTTCTGAGTGCATCTAAAATCTTCTTTTTTAAATTCTAAAGTAAATTTTCTTTAAAAAAAGAATCAACTGGTAGATAAAAAAAATCTGTTTTCTCTTTTTTATCCAATCATTTAAAATATACCTAGCTATCAGTGCAGAGCACTTCATTTTGAGTGCATAAAGGGGAATAACTGCGGTCACCTCTATATGTCAAACTGACTTGGGAGAAAGAATTCTTGTACCATAAGTGTAAAAATGGACATTTTTTTTTTTTTTTGGAAAAAAAACATTTAAAAATCTATTATCATGGCAGAGAAAAAAATCAAGCATTTCAGACAAGTACAATCATCCCTTTCAAAAGACAAAGAATCAAAGACAATCTAGCATTTGATTCAATTTTCAATATCTCTAATCCACTAAAAAAATCTTAATCCAACTCTTGTTATTAATAGGTTTGCGGTCTTTTTGCTCCCCATTCCTGAGTCGAGCGGCTGGAAGAAATGGCAGCCTGCTCAAGTGGTGGTTTTAGCCATGACCAGGTGGGCAATGGCCACTCAACCCTTCTCCGTCGAGCACCCAGGACCACTCTCCCAAAAAACATAAAAGTATCAATATCGTTTTTATCTGATGGTTTCCGCAATATGAACAAACAAACCAGGTGAGTTGCTGTCATAGTGGGATATTTTCTCTCTCCTCCAAAACGAAATCAATTAGGCTTTGTGATAAGGTCTCCGGAGAAACTAATGCAGAAAAACAACTTTCCGGAATGTCCAGCCACTTGACTGCGGTTAGAGCTGGTACAGATATTGGATCATACGATTTCGAGCATGTAAAACGCTCGGGAGACCAGGAGATGAGGATTCGATGCAGAGGCTTGCACCATCGACGAGGAGAGTGGAACAACGATATGTCGCTTCCTATTGTTTTGTACACAAAAGAGCTCTTCAGTGCGCGCAGTGTTGATTTTGTCTGGTCTTCTAACGATAATGACTAGAAAGGATTAGGCTTCAGCAATTAACTCTGGCTTTAGCAATGAAAAAAAATTGAAATATCTAATTGATGTCAACGTTTTAGCCATATTGTATCAGCTGGAATAAGAATTATTGTGCTGATTTGGGACTAAAAATAAAATAAAAAGTGATCCTCTCAAGTCAGTTTTTCTTTAGTGAATTAGACACATTTAAAGTTAATAGTGCCGTGGTGTAGTTTTGAAATACTAAATCCCCATTAAACTTGAAGACAAAGCAGCT